CATTTAATGCTGAGATTGCAGTACCAGTTTGCAATCACCTGATCAGCCTTTGACAGATGATTTCCTTCTTTGTGCCTAAATGCAATAAATTATATAAGAGAGAGTGAAATGAAAATCTGAGAGAGGAGCTAAGACCTTGGGGTTGAGTTTCTGGTGCTACTGGTTACCTGTGACCTTGACAAGTTCTTGACCATTCTAAAATGCTAATGATAGCTCTTGTTATCAGCTGGGGGAAGGCCAAGAGATAAGCCCTGAGGGGTTATGCAACTAGCTCCTGCTCCCACCAGTGTCCCTTCTAAAAAAGCAAAGCAGGAAAGGGTTTTGGGGAGGATTTTTTTTGTTTTTGGGGTTTTTTTTGGGGGGGAGGAGGAAGATAGGAAATGAAGGGTGGGGTCTTCAGCAGGGGTGAACAAGACAGCAGAGAGGATAAGAAAATGGCCTTGGGTAAGAGCTTATCAGAAACAACTGATTTCTTCCCTGGCTCAGCTGCTTTCTGGGAAACTGGCAAAGCTAGTGGACCCTCTGCCGAAAATCACTCCCCCACGGCTTAACATCTCCAGAGCGCTGGATGCATGTGATCTGTGCACAGATAACCTGGATAGCATACTTTGGTTAAAAAAATAAACCAAGACCCAACATATTAGAAAAATAAATGGCTGGACTTATTCCAAAAGGCTGACTATGGCATTAATTCGACTCTGGCCCCCACTGCTAGCTATGCCAAAGTCTTGTGTGGTTATTTGGATTTCGTCTCGGAATGAGGTGTCCAGTAGAGTTTTCTGCAGCCGTGGTTGGGCTCCACCTTTCGTCACTGCCACAGACCCCAGCCACACGTGGCGAAGGAGCACTAATTCATGAATCAGAATTCATTTACACTCAAACGAAAACAGCCACAAGTGGCTAGTGCTTACAATATTGGCTTAGGGTAAAACACAAGGGAGCTTATAATCATATTCTTGCTACTTTTTTTGTAGGTGTGAACATTTCTCAAGCCAGAGACATTTTATACTGGCAAAGTCTGCAGTCAGAAACCTCTTGAAATTACTGAGGAACAAGGATGTCAGTTTGAGGACTAAGGTGCGTCTGACTCAGGCCATGGTCTTTCCAATCACTTGCTATGCATCCGAGAGCTGGATAATGAATAAGGAGGACAGAAGAAGTGAAGCCTCTGAGCTGTGGTGTTGGAGAAGAGCACTGAACATCCAATGGACTGCCAAAACCCCATATATGTTTTGGACAAAGTGCAGCTAAAGTACTCCTTGGAGGCAAAGACGATAAAGCTTCATCTCACATGCTTTGAGCATGTTGCAAGGAGAAGCTATTCCTCAGAGAGGAACATCATGCTTGGAAAGGTAGGGTTGGCAAAGAGAAAACTTTCAACCAGGTGGATTGACATAGTGATTGCTGCAATAGGCTCGAGTGTGTCAGGAGGTATTGAGATGGCGCAGGATAGGACAGAGTTCAGATCTGCTGCTGATAGTGTCACTACAGATCCTCATCTTGATGGGACCCATCATTTGATCTGGAACATAAGGTGCATTGCAAAGTGGACTCGGGAAGGGGGAAGAAAATTGTGCAACAATGGGTGAATAAAAAAAAAAAAAGAGGAAAAAAAGATCTACTAGAAGCTGAAAGCCACCATGCATGAGTGAGTGGCTTCTCACTCCGGGTGACCCTCCATTGGGTTTCTGGGGCTGTACTTTTTAACAGGTGTAGATGGCTTCATTTTAAACCCCTGGAGCTGCTGGTAGGTTTGAACTGCCTTCTGGTTGATGGCCCAGCACTTAACCAGGATCCACAAAGCTGCAATGATGAGACGGAAGCATCAGCGTTATTGGTAGCTTTATTACATTCATTTACCTTCTAAGAAAGATTATAAAACAGGAATACTTCATTTTAAGTGTAATACTGTCTTTATGGACGTATGTACCGTGGTGGCAAAGTGAAAATACGGATCACAAATATATGTGAGAAGAAAAGGGGACCTACCATGCCGGCCCATTCGGCCTGGAGAGAGAGGAGGTGGCCTGGATAATCAGGGACTTATCTGGAGCGGGTGGGGAGAGGTGTTCAAGAGCTTCTGGACCAATAAGCTGCTTTTAGGAGCTTAAAATAAACACACTATCGGGCTGGCTGGAGAAAGAACGCTTGTACCGCTTTCGAAAGCTGCCCGAGGCCTTGGCTTTCCATCAGATACCAGTGTCACCCCAGTCTTGGATTTGTTTTGTCCTCTGTCCAATTCACTTACACTCATACCCTTACCCACACACAGGCCGTCTGTCTTGTGCGCCCATCCAACCTGCCTTAGGTGCATCCCTTCAACAAGCCAGGCTACCTGCCGCCAAGGAACCAACTTTTCTAGGAGAGCAGCCAGCACGCAGGTTTACTGAATGGACCTGTACCCGTCTCAAGCTTCCTTTGCCCGGTGGAGCTTTGGCTCCCAGGGCCTGAGGGCTAGGCTGAGAACCGGCGTGAGGGCCAGGACAGGGGTTTGGCTGGGCTCCTAATCCCTGACCACGAGGCACAACTGGAGGCCCTGGACCCTTTGTGAGCGCACTCGGCTTCTAACCCAGTTCACCAGAGCTGCCACGCAAGACAGGCCTGCCTGAGCTCCTCAGGCCCCGCAGCCCCTGTGGGACCCAGCTCTGCCTGGACGTCAACCGGGCTCCCCGTGGGTTGGAGCGGACCCCATAGCACACAGCATATGTTTTTCCTTTTTGTTTTTTTTTTTTAGAATCGTCCTTTTTCCTGTTCACAAAGGAAAGGAGCAGGAAGGAAAATGAGATCTGGAGATTGTAGGGACAAAGCAGGCCGTGGAGGAAGCGCTTTCCCCACGAGCCGGTTTGCAGCGGGCTTCGGTCCAGACAGCCCTGGGAGCTGCCTGTCTGTGAAGCGAGCAGCTGCCCTTGTTTGGTTTCTGCACAGCCCTGTGTCTTTAAGTTTGCGTTGCGAGGCCCGAGGGGGCAGCCAACTTTTAATCGAACACACATGGGACTCTTGGACTCGCCCGAGCTTTGCCAGCAGCCTCATGCCCTGTTTTCTTTCCTTTGAGGAGGGTTCTGGAGCCCTTGGGGATAAAAGGGGGCGGCCTTGCTCCCCCTCAGCTCTGGGCCAGAAGCGTGGTGGCTGATCTGAGAACTTGGTTCCTGCCCTGCAACTCCAGGCCTGAGGAACTATCTAGAAAAAAAAAATATCAGTGTTTTGTTTTGTGCAGGGCAAGGAAGAAGGAGTTTCTGGAAATTTCTCCACATGAACTGACAAGTGACAGGTAATGAGAGGCCTGGGCTCTTGGCCTCAGGGGGTCTCAGCTCCCAGCCTCAGTGAGGGGAAGGCTGGCAGTGACCACCGAGCTTTCTACCCCAGAGGACAAGGCCACCATCTGTTTGTAAAGAGATCAGAAGAAAACAGCCCCCAAGAAATGGTGGGGGATGGACAGAGCACTGTTATGCACCAAACAATTACAGATGGGGTGGGGGGGGTGACAAAACCACTCGTGGGTAATAACCTTCAGGATGTGCAATTCCAGTGACTTTTACAATTTGAAAACAATATGGCTCCTCTCCCTTCCCTTCATGATGATTTAAAGAGAGACACTCTTTTCCCCGCTTACCCTCCTCCCTCCACAACTCCACAACGGCGTGTTCTTCATAAAACTCACACCCCAGCATCAGCCCCTGGCGCCGATTTACAGAAGAACTTAGCTATGGTCTGTGTGGTGGCTGCTTTGAACTGGGGTGACAGAAAACAAGCTTGAAACTGAGTCCTGCTTCTGGCAGGGGGTCCCAGGGGAGAAGCCCACTTTGCCCAGGAGATGGGGGTCTCAGGCTGCATGTGGGGTGGCCTGGGAGGAGGGGGGATGGGAGGCCAGGGAGGGCTGGCCCTGGGCGGACGGGGCCTGCAGGAGCGCGTGTGGCTGCCCCTCACGGCTACTCTTCTGCCGAGGAAGACGCGGGACTCTCCTCATCCGACATTGGGGCGAACTGAAACGAGAAGTGGAGTCCCTTTCAAATGTCTGTGGGGTGCCAACGCCGTGAAAGTGATACAGCCCTTGGGCTTAAAGAGGTGACGTTCTGAGGGGAACGGGGAGAGGAAGCCGAGGAAAAGCAAACAGTGAAGACATACCCACATCACTTCCACTACCTCCCACTCCATCTGGACTCAAGAGACCCTACATGAGTGGGAGAGATGCCCTGGAGAGATCTGAGGCTGTAACCTCTACTGAAGCAGAGCCCTTCATCTTCCACCTAGCCACTAGTGTTCCTTAAACACATCTTTTTTACAGGAAAGGGGTGCTGTGTGATGTCTGAGGTAACCACTAACCACAGGCTTAGGGGCATGTTGTGACCGGAGAGGGCATCCCTGACATCAGGGACAGCAAGTGCAAAGGCCCTGAGGTGGGAACGAGGCTGGAGAGGAGGCAACAAGGGGAAACAGGTGGATTGGGCAGTGTCTGGTGAACTCTAGGGAGGGGACTTGACTCTGAGTAATGTGGGAGCCATGGAGGGTTGGGAGCTGAGGCCTCAGGACCTCTGGCCACTGTGGACACAGACATGGGGGACCAGGGCAGAGAGAGAGGGATGAGGGGGGATTTAGGGCTCCTTCCCTGGGAAAGGCCCATGCACCAGACACCCAAAGGGCTGGACGTCACCAGCCCTGGGGTATACGGCTGTGCTGACCATGGCCACCTCAATGCCCAGGCCTGGTCGCCTCACTGGGCACACACAGTAGCTCAACAAGCTGATGACCATGAAGTCCTCGGTCTGAGCCCACGTCCCGCCCAGAGCCGGCCCTCCCCATGGTGGGGCCTCACCGAGCACTGGATATTCATGCGTGAGTACAGCATGGACGCGATCTCGCTCCGCCCTGCATCCAGGGCCACCATGAGGGCCGTGCTCCCGTCCTGCAAAGCATGGCCGCTGTGACGCCGCTGCCCGCACCCCACTTCCACCCGGCCCCCCAACCCCGGGGTGTCGGGCAGGCAGGCGGGCACTTACGCGGTCAGTGAGGGAGATGTTGCAGCTGGGCACGGCCAGCAGCAGCCTGGTGATCTCCTTGTGGCCGTGCTCGCAGGCGCACATCAGGGCTGTGGAGCCATCGTCGTCTTGCACGTTGACGTCCGCCTTGCAGGCCAGCAGGGCTTTGACCACGTCCAGTCGGCCGTGGCTAACTGCCAGCATCAGGGCTGTCTGCCCAGCCTGGGCAAGGGAAAGCACAGGCTGACCATCCACACACAGGCCCCTGGGCATGCCACCTTGTTCCAGAACCTTCCACAGCTCCTGAGTATCTGATACCGACACACAACTTCCCTCACTGGCCTCCTATACCTCAAACACATAAGCACCTTTCTCCTGGCCACAGGGCCTTTGCACCTGCTTGTTCCTGCCTCCGCTGGGAGATCCTCACCTCTCAGGTCTCAGATTAACTGTCTCCCCCTCTGGGAAGCTCTGCTGACTGAATCTCCTCCCATAGCCCCACCATCCCTTAGGCAGGCTCCTAACTCATCAACACATGTCATAAGTTTTTACCTCATTTTTACCCTCAGAGGGATAAAACCTGGGAGTTTAGATTTGAACACTCTTCAATATGTCAAGTAAACCCTCAGTAAAAACAGAATAAAAAAAATAATGACTCAAAACCAAAGCAGGGCTATTCCCATCACACCCTCTCTCTGGCTGGTGGTGAATTCCTCGTCCACATCCCATCTATTCCTGGCTGCCCTTCTCTTTGGGCTGGGCGCTCATCCACACCTCACCTCACCTCACCTGTGGTCCCCGGCTTCCACCCTGGCATGCTGTCTCCCACGGCAGCAGGCAGAGCCCTTACACCAGGAATTAGGCCGTGTCACTCCTCTCCTGTCACTCACTCAACTCACTGCCCCCAGACCCCCCGTGGGTCTCCAAGGCTGTGAATCACTTAGAAGGAGACTGTTCAGATTTCTGTGGCGGGGCTGTGGGTGGATTCGAACCAGTAGAGAGGAGTAGGCTTTGGGCTGGCAGAGCAACTACCTATAGACACACCAGCGGAGCTCCCTTCTTCTCCTGGATCCCCCAGAATCCACATCTGTCCCAGCCCCTGCACCACCCTCCTGAGGCTCTGGGCTGGTCAGTGACCTGAGGCCTTCTGAGACGCCAGTGTCCAGCTTAGTCAACCCTACTGCTGTTCAATGAGTGGCCAAAGTGGATAGGGGATGGTGTTGGATCAAGAAAGAGCGGGAGGGTGGGCAGGAAGAAAAATGCAACAATGAATGAATGGAAACCCAAAATCTCTGTAAATGTTCACTAAAATTAATAAAATAAAATTTAAAACAAAAAAAAAAAGAAAGGAAAGCTGGGACCCCTGTGCCTGCCCCCTTCCCATGTTCCAAGAAGTCTCTGAGGCGGCAGCAGCAGCCCTAAGGATTCAAAAGAGGCAAACGCTCATGCCTGCTTCCCAGGGTGGGAGGGGTCATGACTGAGGGGCACCCAGTGTCTGCTCACGGTGGTGGAATGATCTGGAAAAGGACAGTGTTGACAGCTGTGGAAGAGGATGGTGAGCAAGATCAAAGTCACTGAACTGTAAAGTCACTGACGTGGGGCATGTTTTGTTATATTTTACCACAATTATTAAAAGAAAAGCAAGGGGCAGAAAAAGGGGAAGTGTCAAAGTGACCAGGATGTCAGAAGTTCACGGTGAAGATGAAGTGCAGTGACTGGAAAGGGTGGATGGAAGCTTGAAAAGACAGGGTGAGAAAAGGCATAGAACAATGGTAACTAATTACATCAAATATATGAATGATTGTATAAAACAAAGCACATGTAGAAAACATGATGGATATGAATTCTTTTATGTAAACTAAAATGGTTTTTTTTCTTAAAGAAAAGGGTAAGTAGGGAGCCTCTGGAGCTAAACTATCTGAGTTCAAATCCTGACTCCTCTAGTTTGACCTTGAGGAAGTGACTCTGAGCCTCAGTTTCTCATCTGTGGAACGGGGATGTTCCCTCAGAGATGGGCTGAGTGCACGTCTGGGTGGGGAGCCCTCCAACGACCTGACCAAGGCCCGGCCCCTACCTGGCTGGCCTTGGCATTGACGTCACCGAGCCGGAAGAGCTGCAGGACGGTCTCTATGTCATCTTGGCTCTTCAGAGTGGCCAGGGCGGTGAGCATGATGGGACTGTAGCCGGCCCGATTCTGCTTGTCCACCTGGCAGACACCTGAGTGGGCAGAGGGAGGTGGGCATGAGGCCTGGATCCCACCCATGCTGGCCAGGCCACGTCTCCACCATCTGACGGGGTCAGGACCATGTCACCTCCCCTTATTACACGCCTTTTACTGACGGAGGACCCTACTCTGCTCCAGGGATCTCCATCTCCATGGACTTGGGGTTTCTACAGGGCATGCCTCCTCCATCACACTGGGGTCCCTTAGGGCTGAGAGGAAAAGCTGTGTCTCCCCTAATAACCTGGAGGAGTCATTCAACCCCCAGCCCAGCCCAGTTCTCTTCCCTCAGAGACACGAAGGGCAAGTTTCTCCTGCCTAACGGAGGACATCTCCTCTCCAAGCCCCAGACTAAAGGCCACGTCCTCTCAGACTAGGGTCCAAAGGTGTCACTTCCATCACAATGGGCGCTTTGAAAGAACCACATCTTTTCCACTAAGACTTTGCCATGTGCCTTTTTCACCAGACTGGGGTTAAAGGTAGGGATCGCAGCCTGCAGGCTGGCTTCTTCCCCCTCAGGTTGGGGAAAGGTGGTGTCTCCCCCCTCAAACCTGGTGGAGGGTGGTGGCTTCTCTCCGCTCAGAGTGGGAGCAGAGGGGCATCTCCCTCCTCAGAAGGGATAAAGGTGGGGTCTTTCATCTGAGACTACGGGTGGTGGCCAGGCCCTCCCCAGCCGCCCCGTCACCACCCCTCACCACTGTCCAGCAGCTGTCGCACCACAGGGAAGTTGGCGTGCGACACGGAGTAGTGCAGCGCGGTGTTGCCGTTGCTGTCGGCAATGTTGACCACGTAGTCCAGCAGCCGCGCTGACATGGCCCGGAAGGTGACCAGGTGCCGTCGCACAAGCTCGGGCTGGGCGTCGCTGCGGCAGGCCAGGCGCAGCCACTCCTGCAGCACTGTGGTGTAGGCCACTTTCTGGACAAGCCAGGGTCAGGGGAGTGAGGGGTGGTCGGCCCCGTGGACAGCCCACCTACCTCATACCCGCCCCCTGGAATGCAGACACCCCCCCCAGATAAGACCCATGAAAGGAAGCCAGACACCTGAGCCCCAGAGCCAAGTCAGGAGGCCTTTAAAAGGAAGCACAGATGTCCCCACAAGCACATACAGCCCAAAGAAATGAGAACCCCAGAGCCCCAGGTGCTGTCCTCCCCACCTTCCCTATGGGCTGGGACTCAATGTCACCCACTCCAAGCTCCCCACTTTGACTCCAGGACCCCCACGAGATACCCAGTCAGGGCCAGGCCATACCAGCTCCCTCTCAGTGAGGGCTTTGGGGTTCTCTAGGTGTTTCTCCAGGGCCAGGCAGGCGGAGATGAGCTCCGGGCTTAGCTCCATCCTGTTGGGCAGAGCAGAAGGAAGTTCTACTCAAGAGCCCCCACCTTCGCCTCTTGAACCCCTCAATCCTCTCAAGCACCTGTGGGGTTGGTATGTGCCATAACTTCTCTCTCTTTGCACCAAACTGTCTGCCTGGGGCCCCCTGAAAGGGGGGATCTCAGGTAAGGCCCTCAGCCAACACTCTACTCACCGGGACACTCATCATTTATTCCCGGGGCAGAGGTGGAAAAAATTCCCCCCCAGACCCTAAGAGAGTCTAAGCACAGGCCAAAGGTTAGCCAATGACTGGTGATGGATGGAAAATGACTTTACTAGTACTTTGGACACGCTACAAGGAGAGACAGGTCCTTGGAGAGGGACATCATGCTGGGTAGAGTAGAGGGACAGCGCAGGAGGGGAAGACCCTCTATGAGGTGGACTGATTCAGTGACTGGGGTAATCGGGATGGGTGTGTCAGAGGCAATGCGATTGGCACAGGATAGAGCAGGGTTTAGGGCTGTTGTACATAGGGTCGCCACTATGAGTCACAAACGACACGATGGCACATAACAACAACAATAACAATAGTACAAAATGGTCATCAGGGACAGAAATCGACAAAGTTGACCCCTAAATCCTAACCCTGGGAGTCTGAACTGCCTCCATTATGTTTCTTAATCAAAACTTGTAGATCAGCAAGCTCTGGTGGCCTAGTGGCAAGAAGCTGCACTGCAATACTAGAGGTTCGCGGTTCGAATCCACCTGATGCTCTGCTGAAGAAGGAGGAAAAATGTCCTCCTGTACCAGTCAGATCTGATTTGATGGTACACACACACAAAATAATAAAAAATTTAAAAAATATTCTTTAAAAAAACAAACAAACAAACCAAAAAACCTTGTAGATCTTCAGCCGTCCAGGAGAAAAGCTTGCTAATTCAGACTAAAGTGTGAATGACTGAAGGAAAGTTCTCCCATGCAGCCTTAAGAGTAGCATTTCAGGCCAAGGTAACTCACACTGAGTCTGGTCTGAACCATCCCCAAACCAAAACACTGACCGGGTCTCCTCTTCCACGTTTGACGCAGACGCCCCCTCAGCCGTGGGCACGCGCTGAGACTCCTGAGACAGATGGGACTCCTGACTGCTGGTTTTAGCCGCTGCTGTCCCTGCTGGCCTGAGCTGGGCGGCTTCAGCCACGCTGGGAACCCTCTCCTCTGGCTCTGGAGCCTCACTTTTCATGCTCTCGTTGTCAGAGAAGTTCTCCGCTGTGCTGGAGTCCTCGGAGGAGGACTCGTACCTGGGGAGGAGCAGAGGTGGCAGGGGTGTGGCGGATGGGAGGGGATGTGGTGAGCGCTATCTGCTCCGGGCTGCAGGGTGAGGCTGATAGCACCTGGCACCTGGTGAGTGCCCACTACGTAAGCAGTGATGGTGACAGTGTGGGATGCTGCTTTCCACCTTCTGAGGCTCAGGACTTCTCATCCTTTATCCCTGTTAACTGATTCAGACTCTCATCTGAACTGACCCATAGCTGACCCTCCAGCAGGTTTTGAGAGGAGACTGCCCATCCGTCTCCCGTGGATCGGCTGGTGGACTGGAACCCAGTGCCTCTGGGATGGCAACCCAACTCCTTACCACTAGGCCACCAGAGCTCTCTACCTCAAACAGGATTCTCTTAAGTACTTGTCTTGCTAAGCAGCTCTCGGGGTTTCACTGCTAACCAAAAAGGCTGGTGGTTCAAATACACCAGCTCCCCATCCTGCAGGGAAAATGCTGGGCAGTCTCCTCCTGTGACAATTTACAGCCTCAGAAAACTGATGGCGGACCGTTATGGGTCTGAACGGAACTGACAGCACTGGGGGTGCTTCTTGCTGCCCTTGGACAAAGGCCTGGCATTTGAGGCTCCTCTGTTCGGTTCTTCTCGTCACTCTTTTGCCTTCTGCCTCTGAGCTCTGCCCAGGAATGGCTCCCTGCCCTTCTTTCCCTCCTTAATGAGTGGTCCTGCACTTCCTGTCCCCTCCAGTGCCTCCTCGGTGGCCCCCCCCCATGCCTGCCAGGTTCTCCATCAGTGCTGTCACACCAGGTGGGAGCCACTCATCAGTGCTGGCCGTCCTGCTACCCCTGTTCCACCAGGGGCATGCCAAGGTACACTTTTCTGGGGGTGAACCCTGATTCCAGAGGTAGACCCTGGGTAACTCTGCCCAAGGAGCTTGTCCCCCTCGTAACCTGGCTTCCTTAGACATCTGTTGGGGTGTGATGAAGTGGGGTAAAGGGACAGGGGCAGGGTGCTCAGGAACAAACAGTACGCTGGACACGAGGGCAGAAGGGGTGCATGTCAGGGAGGGTCACCTCACCCGCCATTGACTCCCACAAACTGCAGGCTCTTCTGGTGGTCTGCTGGGTGGTCTTGGGGCTCCTCCTTCCACTTCATGACGGATCGCACACTCATCTGGGGCCCGCCTGGGGGAGGGGGACCTTGTGAGGGTCTTTAGCAAGACCCTGGGCCCAGGCCCCCCAATGCCCTGTCCTTTCACTGTGGCCATTCACTTACCTGCACCCCTGGCCTCTCCCAGCTCACGGGGCATGGCTAGCCTGGTGGATTCACTGTTGGTGGTATCACAGGTGGGCACCCCACCTCTGCTCTTGGGCTGAGCCAGGGAGACCTCTGCGGAAGCTGGGGGTGACGAGGGCGACTCTCTGGGTCCCTGTTTGCGACCTGAAGGGGCAGGAGAGAACAGCAATGATCAGAGCTGTATCTGGGGAAGGCGCTTTCTGTGCCAACTTAGCAAACCTTCCCCGCCCACGAGGGGGTCAGGCCACCACAAATGGGGAAACTGAGGGGCTCCCTGAGGTCACCCAGCAAGTGGGTCACAGTAAGTCGGGCCAAAGAGGCCCCTATGACTCCCCACAACCCTGATCTGTAACCCCTCCAATGTTGCACCCCATGTTCTCTGAAAACAAGGTTTCTTTGGTTTAAATTTTTTTTAAATAAAGTTTACAGAGACTTAGGCTTTCCAATCATTCATTGTTGCACTTTTCTCTCTGCCCACTCCTCCCCCAATTCACTCTTCTCCTTGAAAAGTAAAATTCACTGTTATGCAATCCCTTCCCCCAAGTCCACTCCACTGTGCAGACTTCACTCTGGACTCCTGTCACGACAATAATACCCAATCATATATTGAAAACAAGGTTTGATCACAGGGCACCCTCAGAGCAATGCTGGCTTCCTGCACAGGAGCTGGGGGACCTCAGGCAAGGCGCCTACCCTCTCTGTGCCTCATACCTCTGTAACACAAGAATTCAAGAGCAAGGCACTGCTCCTGGACCGGTCCGACAGGCCTGGGGAGTTCTTATTTTTTTATACTCTCCCCCTTCCCAGATTTGCTTATTCTAGGGAGCCTTAAACCAAATTTTCATAGGCTTTATTACTGCCGCTATCAATCTTTTTCCTCACAAATGCAGGGCCGTGCTGTGGATATCACTTTGCATGCTGCATGCAGCCTCTTTTTCTCCTTCTGGTGCAGTGGTTAAAGAAGCTGGTGGTGAATCGAAAGGTCACTGGTTTGAATCCCCAAGCACAGGAGACAAAAACGAACAGTCAGTTTCTGTAAAGATTACAGCCCTGGAAACACCCCGGGCCAATTCTAGTCGGTCCCTTAAGGCTGCTGGGAGTCGGAACAAATTCCATGGCAACAGGCCTCTTTTGGTTTAGAAAGTTATTAATTTAATAACCAGGGAAAAGAAATAACAGAACTATTATAAAATTAAAAGGACAACCCCACCCAGTGGATGTGGCTGGCCGAGGGGGCCTACTGTCTCTGAGCCTTGCACAGAGCAGGCCCAGCTTCCTCTTCTCTGCCTTGACCCGTCAGGCTGCCCCAGACCACCTGTGGCTTCTGTGGCTCTGCTCCTCCAAGATTTCCCCTTTCCACTGCTGGCCACAGGCTCTGAAGCCCAACTCATCTAAATTTTATGGTTAAATTTTTTTTTCCTGAACAGAACGACTTCCCTTAGTCCTAGGGCAGCATTCAACTTCAGTTATAAAGAGGGGAGTCAAATGAGCAAGAGGCGGGGGGGTTCCAGGGCTCAAACTTGTAGAGGTGGTGGGAGAACCCCCCAGGTTTTTAACCCTGACCATCAACTTCCACGCAACAAGCACACTTTCTGTGGTCAAACGAAGTGTGGCAGGTGGCAGAGGGGGCAATCTCTGCTCAAGTAGGGGCTTCTGGTTTAGAATTATGGGGCGGTACGTCAGAAAAATGAGGGTGCCCCAGGCCCATGCCACTTGAGGGCAAAGCAAGTCCTGCTTCACTAGCTGTGGCCGCTTACAATCTATGTAACAGCAGAACATATTTCAAAGCCACAATTATCAAAACAGTAATGTCACAGAAACAAACAGACCAAAGGAACAGAGGTGACAGCCCACAAAGGCCACGTCCCTGGGACTGAGGGTGTGACGGAGGGCACTGGACCTACAGGGATGGATGAGAAAGAGTGGATTTTGTGGTAAACGGCATTTGGAAAAGTGGCTTGATCTACCTGACAAAAATTAAGTGGGATGCCTACATCATCTCTTATTTAGAACCAAAACAAGATTGTTTAATATGAAAGTACCGTAGTGGGAGAAATCACGGGAGATTATCAGGGGCCTTGTTTTCATGTGCTGTAGAGTCAGAACTGACTCACGGCTGACCCTCCAGTGGTTTTTCAGAGGCTATGAAAAGCACAAGAGGAGACTGCCTAGCTTTCTGCCGGAAGATTCGAACCAAGTGCCTTTAAGACGGCAACTTAACTCCTTACCACTAGGCCATCAGAGATCCTTTCAGAGGCCTTAGGAAGTTGGGGGAAAAGCCCTTTCAAAATTCCTGTAAGCACAGTATAATGGCCTTTACCATATCCAAAATAAAAAGCCTTTTTGAAAGTTAAATTGTGAAAAGAAAACATCATGAAGTTAGATGGGAGCAACAGGCTAACAGAAGATATTCGCCACATCAAAAACGGACAAGGGATTATCTCCTAGAACAGCAGTCAACAAACTTTTTCCTGCCGAGTGTAAACATTTCGGGTTTTACGGGGGCAGATCCCAGTTTTGAGAACTCAGCTTTGCAGCTGCAGCTCAAAAGCAACCACAGATAATATGTAAAGGACTAGGTGTGGCCGTGTTCCCAACAATTTGAATTTCACAGAATTTTGCTCACATTTAAAAAAAGTATTCTTCCTTTCTTGCTTGGCTCCACAGTCAACACTCTCGGCACCAGTAGCCAGGAAATTAAAAGGCGTATTGCAATGGTAAAGTCTGCTGTTAGGGACCTCTCTAAAGTACTGAAGAGCAACAGTGTCTCTCTGGAGACTAAGATGCGTCCGATACAGGCCATGGTCTTTGTAATCACTTGTATGCATCAGAGAGCTGGACAATGGCTAAGGAGGATGGATAGAAGGAGAATTGATGCCTTTGAGCTGTGGTGCTGGAGAAGAATATTGAGTGTACCATGGACTGCTAGGAAAACAGATTCCTCCTGGAAAGGGTCAAACCGGGTGTCTCCTTGGAGGCAAGGATTCTGAGGCTCCATCTAACATACTTTGGACATGTTGTAAGGAAGGACCGGTCCTCGGAGAGGGACATCATGCTTGAGAGGGTGGAGGGACAGCACAAGAAGGGAAGGCCCTCTATGAGGTGGATTGATTCAGTGACTGGGGCAATTGGGATGGGTGTAGCGGAGATGGTGCGATTAGCACAGGACAGATCGGAGTTTAGGGCTGTTGTACATAGGATCGCTATGAGTTGCAAGCGACTCGACGGCCCATAGCAACAACAACAAACAATATTCTTCCTTTCAGATTTTTTTAATCGTAAAAAAAAGGTGAAAAACCATTTCTAGTTTATGGGCTGTCCAGAAAAAGAGGGGGCAGGCCACTCTTTGTCAATGTCTAATCTGCAAGACATGGAAAGACGGAAAATGAATGGATGCCTTTGAGCTGTGATGCCTGAATATCGAATATCCCACAGAATGCCAAAAGAACAAACCAGTCTGTTTTGGAGGAAGTGTGACCAGGGCTAGGCTGGTGAAACTTTTGTCTTGCATACTGTGGGCATGTTGTCAAGAGGTACAAGTCCTTGGAAAAAAGATAGTCATGCTGGGAAGGGTGGAAGGTCACTTCAGGAGAGGAAGATCTCTGCCAAGATAGTGACCACAAGAAGAGGCAGACACTGTGAGCGCAGTGCAGGTCAGGACAAGGGTCCCATCTGCTGTTCACAGGGTGACTATGAGATGTAATCAACTCCGTAAAACCTCAACAACAACTGGGAATATTCCAGTAACTTCCACAAACACCCAGAGCAAAATGAGTACGTGATTCACACAGGAATCTTACTCAGCACTTGAGAGATCAAACCTCACCAGAAAGAAGAGAAATGCGAAGTTAAATCAGGTGGCCAGAATCCAGAAGGTAGCATAAAACCGTATGCTGGTGTGGATGTGGGGAAACGGGCAGCCCACACCAGAGAATCGATTGTTGTTGTTTGTTGTTATGTGCCGAGTCACTTGCGACTCATAGCGACCCTATGTACAACAGCCCTAAACCCTGCTCTATCCTGTGCCAATCTCACTGCCTCTGACACATCCATCCCGATTACCCCAGTCACTGAATCAATCCACCTCATAGAGGGCCTTACCCTCCTGTGCTGTCCCTCCACCCTCCCAAGCATGATGTCCCTCTCCAAGGACCTGTCTCTCCTTACAACATGTCCAAAGTATGTCAGAATCCTTGCCTCCAAGGAGCAGCCTGGTTTAACCCTCTCTAGGATGAATCTATTTGTTTTTTTGAAGGATGAATAAAAAAGCTCTGGCGGTGAGCTCTTTTTTTTTTTTTTTTTAGGGAGTTGAGCTGTTAGCCCAAAGGCAGTTCAAAGAAGAAAGATGGGCAATTTCCTTCCATGTGATTTACAGCCTCTGAAAGTGAGCTGAAGGGTCAGTTACGTGGCAGTTTTGACTTGATGCCTGATGAGGACGTCTACTCAGTCATTAATAGTAAGAGACTTGATTTATAAACAATAGCATAAAGAGTTGAAAAATAGTATGCTGAGAAGGGAAAAACAAGAAATAGACAGAACTAGAAGTGTGTTTTTTTTTTAAAAGCACAATACCATTTAAGGAAATCAAACATGCACAGGGAACATTTTTTAAGGACACTCAACCGTCTAAACAAGCTTCTGGAAGGTGGATTGCATGGAATGCTATTAAACGGGAACAGGGAGGAATCGATGGTGGGGTGTGGACGGCGGGGCGCAGAAGTTGGCAAAGTTTGGTCATGGGTGAGGTTTTTACATTTTTAAGCGGCTGGAGGGAAACGCAAAAGGATGAATATTATTTGTGACACATTAAAATAATATGAGATGGAAATTCAGTGTTCACAAATAAAGTTTTATTGGCACACAGCCACGTGTACTGGGTTCCAGGTCATCTATGGCTGCCTTTACACGGTACAATCAACACTGCTAGGCCTGCTGCAGAGGCCGTGCCGGCCACACGGCCAAAAACATTCCCCACCCCCAACCCAGAAAGTGGAAGATGCAGGTAAAAAATAAAACAAAGGGGAAAAACTCCCCCAAACCAGTAAAATAAGAGAGATGCTGTCACAGAACAAAAAGGTACGGCTGCATGAGCTGAAGAATCAGATGAATGCCATCTGGGCTCTTCAGTCAGAAAGAAATGTGAAAACAATTTTTAAATCACTCACTACCCAATTTGGCAAGGGTATAAGGCCACAGGGGTACAAAATAATTTGGGAATATTCTTCAAGGACCACAAAAAGGCCCTTGCAGAATTCTGGCCTGAGAAAGCAGACTAAAAGACCTGCGTGGTTCTTGGGGAAGGTCACTGAGGAGAAAAAACCATTTACAGGGGAGGAAATTGGGGTGCACGGGATGCAGACCAGTCAGGTAAACGCTGTCTGCTCACCCCTCCGAAAATCATGCAGCTGCTGAAAATGAACCTGAGCTTTCAAAGTATTTTTTATTACAGTTCAAAAATGCTCCTGGGCTAGTGTTACATGAGACTCAATGACGGAGTTCAAATTCTGGCCTGGAGGGCCTTAAGCAAAGGCCCCTCTCTGTGCCTCAGTTTCCTCAGCTGTAAAATGGGAATGAAAACACCCACTCCAGTTGTAGGTTCCTGGAGGTTTACATGGATTAAAAAGGTGGGAAAAGCATTAAACAACACCTGGCACTAGTAAGAACTGATTAAGTGTTTTTTAAGATGCCCTACAGCAGCGAACTCAGGTTTCTTCTTGGAAAAGAACTGTGCTGCCAACGTAAAGGTATTGGGTTCGAATCCACATGCTGCCCTGAGGGAGACAGATGGGGAAATCTCCTGGGCGTTACAGCCTCTGAAAATTTGCTGCAGGGTCAGCTATGAGTCGGTTCTGACTTGCAGGTACATGACAACAGTAAGGGCACGAAAGATTCTGGCTGATAACCGAAAGGCGAGCAGTTTGAATCTACCAGTTGCTTCAAAGGAGGAAGACGGGTAATCTTTAGACCTTGGAAACAAGACGGAGGGTTATCACAAGTCAGAGTTGCCTGGAGAATACTGGGGTTTTGTTGGTACAGCTGGGAGCCCTCATGGTGCAGTAAGTTAAGTATTGGGCTGCTAGCTAAAATGTTGGCAGTTCAAATCCACCAGCCACTGTAGGGAAAAACAAAGCAGTCTCCTATTAAGATTTACAGCCTAAGAAATGCACCGGTGGTGGGGTTGCCATGCATTAGACCTGACTTGATAGTAGTGGACTGGGTGGGTTTTTATTATTTTTTTAAAGTGGTTCAACTGGCTGCTAACTGGAAGGTGGGTGGTTCAAACCCACCAGCTAGGAGAAAAGATTTGGCAGTCTGCTTCCATAAAGCTCTGGAAGGTCTTCCATAAAGGTCTGGAGACCTTGCGGGGCAGTTCTCCTCTGTCCGACAGGGCCGCTATGGGCCAGAAGCAACTCGGCCGACCACAGTGGTTCACTTAAATCCTTTTAAAGACAGAATAAAGCAGGAGAGCAGCTCCTGCCAGCTTGGGGATGTCAGATTTGAGGAATACCCATTATTTGACCTGTTACATATTCCGAAGGAAAGGAGGAGACGTGTTGACAGCAGCTACATCTGGGGGTAGTGAGCTTATGGGTTTGGGTTTTTTCCCCCTAGACTTTCCTGTACTTCCCAAACTTTCCACAATGAGTGTGAACTGCTTTCACAGGAATGTTTTGAACAAGAGCAGCGGAAATTTCAAAGCCTTGGAGAGACGCCAGGGGTGCCTGTATTCAGCTGTCCCTTCTCCTGCTGCCCCTCACCGTGGCACCAGAGGCAGGTCCCCCGGCTCTGTGGGGGCTCCAGGCCTCTGCAGGTCCCACCCACCTCCAGCCTGAGGGGGAAGCCGGCCTCCTTCCCCCACCCCACCTCCTCCCCCACCGCTCCGTGCAGTGATCAAATTCCCTGCTCTGCTGAGAACCACGGCCTGGGCCTCGTGAGACACACTCAGAGCTGGGTTTGCTGCAGAGACCCTGCTGCCCACACAGCTGAATTACTTACTCACCCTCGACGTGGAGGGCAAAAGATGAAAGTTAGAAAAAGTGCAAAATAAAGCAAGAGAGTTCTAGGCTGCTAACTGAACACCCTACTCGTCACACATTATTCTCCTCTGACACAAACGGGTCCTCAGCAGTCAACTGGTTTTCACTACACGGCAATGAGACTGTGCCCTCCATTGCCTCTTCCTCCAGGCAGTCCCCCTTGACTGACCCACCGACCTACACTGAGCACTCAATGAATCCCAGCCTGATACTCAGGATCATTCTTTCCCCATCTCGCTCCCACTGCCTCCCATACTCCAACTGGTTCAAATCCCTGAATGCACAAGTTCCCCACCAGCTCAAGCCTTTGGACCTGTTGTGCCCACACCGCGAATACTCCTTCCTTCCTTCTTTGCTGGCTGGTGCCCAACTTCTCTTCCTTCATCTCTTGATTCAAAAGTAACCCTTGGAGAGGCGATTAGAAGCAGAAAGCTAACCAGAGAGCAACTCCAACTGCTGTTAGTTTGCTGAACACTTAATGCTAATTAATGCATCTAAATCAGGCTAGCAAGACCAGTTTTGCTGATGAAGAAACTGAGGCACAGAGCCGTCAAGGCACAGAGCCAGGGAGCAGAGAGACCAGAATTTGAAGGCCAGCCACCACTCCATCCAATTGTCACCTACCCCACAGCCCCTACTGCATTTGCTCCAAACACTTATTCTCTAAAACGCTATCTCTTTACTTGTCTATAGAATCTTTCTACTGAACAGGCATTTGTCTGTCTTGTTCAACACCAAGTCCCCAGAGCCTGGTAAGAGTCTAGCACGTCATTGCCACTCAATGTTTGTGGGATGAGAAGATGTGGAATTGACATGATCGAGTTCCACCCCAGCAAGGCACAGACTGGGGCTGGCTGTAGCAAGAGGGAATGAAGTGGGACACAAAGAAGAACTTTTGGAGGTGTGCCCTGCACAGGGTGGACACTGCTGTCTCCACGTGTTCTCCAGGCAGAGGCCCCAGAAGCGCCCTGGGAAGCAGCCTGGAATGGAAGCTGCCTCTCAAGGGCTGCTGTGGCTGGGCTGGGCAGGGTCCCTGGATGGTGGCCAGAGCTGCAGGGCTGGGTGTTTGGGGCGGACGCAAAACAGAGGGTGGCGCCTGGAGCCCGCCAGGAACAACACAGGAGGCTGAAAAACACAGCTGGTCCCCACCCTGTAACCCACGCCCTCTGTGGGGCCTTGGCCACCAGAGATACAACGTCCCGTCCTCGAGCCCTGCTGCAGGTTTGGATCCGGCTTGACCCCTTCCTGGCTATGTGACATGGGACAAGCGAGTCCCTTCCCTAGGGCCTCAGTTTCCCCAGTTTTAAACAGGGCTGGCCTGATCACTAGAAGCAGTAGTAAACACTGCCACGGCATTTCCTGTGTGGGTTAATTCACAGAATCCTAGAGATGAAGTCACTACATGTCACATCATAGATGGGGAAGCCAAGAACCCAGAGAGGTGGAGATGCCAGCCCAGGGTCACACAGCTGGAGGTGGGACTGAGCCAGGTCATCTGACTTCATGGCTCTTCTTAGCTCCTCTGTGGACAGGGCACCAAGTGCAACCCCTAATACATGGCCAGCGCTGGGCAAAGAACAGCTGTCATGATTAGGAGTCATTCCAGCAGCTGACATACTGTACACCCAGCTCGAGGACTCAGCATTTCCTCCAGGAAACCCCCTTTCCTCCTCCACAGGCCTGAGGGCTGGCTCCCTCTTGAGGCTCTGGAGCTGGACCATGAGGAACATGGTGATTGGCTCAGCAATGAGCACATGATCCAAGCCAACCAAGGAGAAACATCCCTGGGATTTTTTCTTTCTTTTTTTTTTTTTAATTGGCACTGACTGGACCTAAGAATTACCTTTCCATTGGGCTGGATACCAGCCTGAGAAGGAAGCCAGACTGACAAGTCCTTAGGGTGGGAAGAAGAAGAAGAAAAGGACAGATGCGATTCATGATAACATCTGAGCATCTTGATCCAGCTATGCCTGAAGTCACCCCCTAAGTTAAATGAGCATTTCCTTCTAATTGCTTAAACCAGGCTGGGATTGGTTCCTACTGCTTGGGGGCGGGGAATAGAGAAAAATCAGAAAGCCAAGTCTCAGGAACCTTATAAGAAAAAGAAAAGGGTAGGGAGGAATTGCAAAACAATGAAAGAGTTTTCCTTTCTTTTCAAGAGGAGGAGTGAATTGGGGGGAGGGGGTGGGAAGGGAGAAAAGTGCAACAATGAATGACTGGAAACCCTAAGTCTCTGTAAACTTTCATTAAATTAAAAAAAATCATTAATAAAAAAAATGTTTAAAAGAAAACCCCACACCACAAAACACCCCACTTCTTCCAGTGAAAAAGAAAAGAAAAGAAAGGTAGCCATGAAGACAAGAACCTGACCTAAACCCATTTTCTCTGCTTGGCCCCTAATGGCTGGAAGTTGGTGGTGGCACCACTGCCTCCTTTTTGGGGATAAAGAGACACTGCCAGTGGCGAGTCTGCTGGGAGGCCAGCTGGACTGAACCCAGCCTGCTGGGGAGACAGCCTTCCCCAGGGTTGGCGAGCCCCCACCCCTACCTGCTGTCACTCACCTGCAGGCCCCTCGCTGCTGCGCTCGGTGATGCTGATTTTTTTCACCATGTGCACATTGCCTGGGCACGGTGCAGGCGCTGGTGTGGGGAACATCGCCTCCATCACCTCGTGGCTGCGGAACACCGCAGGGTTCTCGGCCCCATTGGAAGTCGCCAGGGCCCGCAGTCCTGCCCCGTAGGGCTCCAGACTGTGGGCCCGCTGTGCAGGGGCCCCCGTGGCTGTGCTGGCCGCCACCTCCACCTCCCGCGGGCCCTCCACCACCCGCACGGTGTCTGCACGCACGGGGCTGTCGGGCGCCTGCCGGGCCTGAGCTGCCTGCAGCTCCTGCAGGGCTTTCTTGAGCTGCGTCTCCAGCACTGCGACCTTGGCAGCCAGGGCCGCCTCCCCGTCGGGCATGCCCAAGTCCCGCTCGCGGACCCAGGTGCCCACACTCCGGGTCTCGAGTGCCGCTGGGTCCTCGAGGGGTTCGGGGAGGTCCAGGCAGAGCTCGCTGCGGCCCCGGGGCCCGGTGGGGTGGCCCAGGAACTTCTGGCTCTTGAGCTGCACTGTGAGCTGCCTCTTCTCCTCCTGGAGCACCGACAGCTTCACCTGGAGCACGGGGATCAGCTTCACCTGCTCCTCCAGCTGCCGCAGCTTCCGCAAGGCGCCCGCCATCTGCTCGCGTACGTGCGCCAGGTGCCCGGCGCTGGGCGCCACGGGCGTGGACAGTCCCGAGCCCCGCGGCGTCGGGGGCGGCAGCCCCACGCCCACCAGCGAGCTGGTGGAGCCGGCCGCGCTGGGGGTCAGCGAGCCCAGGCCCGGAGGCCCGGCAGCCTGGTCCTCGAGGCGGCGGCGCGCGTCCAGCAGCGTGCGTTCCACCCGTGGGTTGATGCCCGAGCGGCTGTCCAGGGCGCCGTACTGCGGGTAGAAGCCGCGGCCGCAGTAGGAGTAGGCCGAGTGGCGGCTGTCCCCACTGGCATTGGAGCACAGTGACTCAGTGGACGTCCACCAGGACCCGGGGCCGCGGGGCAGAGAGCCGAGGCGGGGGCGGCGCTGCACGGCCACCCGCCGCAGAGTGTGGCCCTTCTCGATGTCGTCCACGTACTTGAGGAAGTCCAGGTCCAGGCGGTAGCCATAGGGCGTCTCCACCGAGTAGGGCGGGTCGGGGTCCTTGGCAGGGAAGGCGGGAGGGGAAGCTGGACCAGGGGTCCCTGGGGCAGAAAGAAGCGTCGGTGGCTCTGCACGCAGCTTCCCCCTCACTGGGCTCACAACCTCTGAGAACAACCTGTCTGGTCTCCGCTTCCTGGGAGGAAGCTTTCATCTCCCCACAAGACCTTCCCCCTCCAACACTGTGCCTTCCCTTTCATTCTCCCAGGGCTGCCCTGTGTCTGTCCTCAGATCCCATAAACAGTCTTATCTCCTTGTTAGATCCCAAGGCGGGGCCTGTCTCCTCCTCAGGTCCCCAGAACAGGACCTGTAAGCCTCCTCACACATCTAACACAAGGGACTGTGTTCCCCTTAGACCCCCAGGTCAGACATGGCTTGTCTCTCTGTCTCTGTCTCTCTCTCTCTCTCCCTCAGAGTCCAGGAGGGCTTGGCTTCCCCTCAAACCCCTAAAACAAAGCCTGTCCCCCCTCCTACCCCCACAAGGGCAGAGCCATATGCCCTCCAGAGCCCTGACCTGGGAAGGGGGCCGGCACGTGCAGGACCTGGGCCATCCTCCTGTGCGCCGATGCTCCTTGGGGTCACTTAAGGGGCTGTGGGTTCACACCACCTGCAGCATAAGCTGAGGCTCACCTAGGGAGATGACAGAACCAGGCATCAGGAGAAAGGTGGAGGGGAGGTAAAAAGAGGGGAGGTGGCCCCCAACCTACAGTGCTGCCCTCCACCCGGCTCCCCTGCACCCTCCCTCCCAGGAGGATAGCCTCCCATCCAGGTCTGGGACCCTGTCACAGGCACACACAGCATCCATGCCTGGCCTCAGTTAAGGGGTGGGGGGCCTGCGGTTTGGAACAAAGAAATCAAACTTTACGGGCCAGCCTGCCCACACATCTGTCCAGCCTCTGGACAGGCTCCAGCTGTCCCACAGCCCCTCCTCTATCAGACTCCTAGGCTGAGGGGCCCCTGGCTCTCCAAGCCCCACCCTTCCTGTTCCCCCTCGCCCAGAACCCCAGCCCATCCCCAGCCTGGTCCCTGGGCAGATGTAGGCTAGGTTCCGTGAGAGTTGGGTGCTACCGGAGAACAGCCCTCCCACAAGAATCCGAACACTGTTAGGGGACCCCAAAAGACTCCAAAGCAGAGGCAGGCCAGGCCTGGGGGTGCAGGAAGGGAAAGTAAGGGAAGCAGCAAGGAGCGAAGCCTTTCCCCTTTATGGAAACAATTTTCTCTAAAAATAAACAGTTTCGCTGCCGGGCTACACGAGAACTTCCTGCCCCCCCAGGATGCACCCAAACTCGGGGCACAGCGGGAAGAGAGGCCGGCTGGCCGGGCAGCCCTGGAAGTCATGGGAATGGGGAGGAAGTGAGAGGGGGTGCCTGGAGGCAGCAAAGGGAGACACAATCAGGGCCTCTCACTCACCCACCCAAGGTTCTGGAGGCCAGCCAGAGCACTGCATCCCCAACACCCTCAGCCCGAGTACGGCCAGTCCTTTCTGCTATCTGACCTCTAGTTGCCCTGCTGCAGAGTTCCTGGCCTGCTCTGACTCCAGAGGGGGTCCTTTCAAGCCTGTGGGAACCAGAGCAGCGGGTACCTGAGAGGATGGGCCAGGTGGGGCACCTGTCCAGCATGAAGGCGGGGCTGGGACTCCTGGGGTGGCCGTTTGGTTCGTCCTCACTATTTCTGCATCCCTGGCTTAGCTCTCCACGTCCTTCCGTGTCTCTGTCTCTCTGCTGCCCTGCTTGTCTCTGCCTCTCGCTCCACGTCTCTCTCCCTGTCTCTCCACGTTTCTGTCTTCACTTCTCACACAGTCTTTTACCACCTGGAACACAGGGTGGCCGAAGGTAGGAAATCTGGTTTCCCATTTGCCCAGAGGCTCACTTTCGGTATGACATTCCTTTCTGGAGGAGCAAGTAAAAGTGAGGAGAACAGTTTCTCTTGGGTACCTACTAGAGGTAGGCCAGCACAGCCTTGGGGTGCGGAAGGTGTGTAGGAGAGGGATAAAGGATATTGTTAATGTACCTTGAAGGAGGGACCGACTCATAGCTGACCCTCCAGCAGGATTTCAGAGGCAGTAAATCAGAGGCATGAGGGGAGATTGTCTATCTTTCCTGCAGGGCAAGTGAAGGATTATAACTTCAGTCCTTTGGGTTGGCAACTCCTCACTGCTATGCCACACGAGCTCCCTAACCTTTGTATGATAGCCAGGGGGCTGTGCCATGGAAGGTACAATAAATGTTAGTACCTGTAATAACCAGGGAATTAATTTAATCATCATCAGTCCTGAGAAGATGGAGTCCCATGGTGACACAAAGAGGTAAGTGGACCTTTATTGCCTGGAAGGCTGAAAGCTGGTTCGAATCCACCCTAGGAAGATGGGTGTGGTCCTAACAAGTCACTGCATGAGAACACGAACGGAGCCTGCGAGCCTGAAGGCAGTTCAAATCCACCAGCGGGTTCAAACGAGAAAAAGGAGGCAGTGTCCTCCCATGCAACTTGCAGCCTCGGAAGCCTGCTGGAAGGTCAGCTATGAGTCGCTTCCGAATCTATGTCAACGGTGAGATGAGAGACTGATAACTACAGACACGGGACACTATGAGTCACAACTCCACTAACTCCAACAAGCACCACTCAGAAGTGGTCACCATTAAAGGACCGCGAAGCTCAAGCTCGGAGTCAGGAAGGCTGGCAAATTTGCCCATGATCACTCAGGGGGGGGATGCGGCTTGACTTGAACTTGACTGTGCATCGCCTGGAACTGCCAGTCAAGCCACTCTCTAAACTGCTACTCCCTTTGCCCAGTTCTAGCCATGGACACTGCGGTCGGAGGGTCTCCAGTCAACCGTGCGGTCCTGGTGACTCAGGGTTCAGAGGAACAGAAACTAAATTTGGGGTGTGTGCGGGTATGGGGGACTCTGTGACTTAAGTACATCTCCAAAGCCTTTAATAGGGGAGATGGAGAAGCTGGGACTTGAGGACGGCAGAGGGGACCTCAGGGAAGGGGTGCAGGGTCTGAAATCACCTTCAGGGTCTTTAAGGTACTGTTCCCGACCCCCTGCTGGCCTAGACATCTCTAGGGGCCTTCCTGCCCCTCCCCCGACCCTGAGACTGGGACGAAGAGGACCCCGCCCCGTGCAGGGAGGGGCGGGGCCTGCGGGGTCCCGGGCTAATGGCAAACAGCTGCCGCTCCCCACGCCGGCCCAAGCGCCAGGCCCAGGCCCAGCCGGGCAGCCGCCTTCCCGCCGCCTGGAGCGGGGCTCCGCCGGCCGGGGAGGACGGCGAGCGGCCGCAGAGCGGGAGACAGGCAGAACGAGGGGCAGCGAGGGGGGCGAGGGGGTCAGGGAGGCAGCAGCGGGGAGAGGGGCAGGGGAAGGGGTGCCTATGGAGGTCGTGGGGTGGGGAGAGCGAGGCTGGGCCGGGGGTCAAAGGAGGGAGGAGGCCGAGATGCGGCGCCGGGACGGTGGGTCCGGCTCGGTCGGGAAAGTTTTGCAGAGATAGTGGAGTTGGACGTAGCGGATCAGCGAGCCTGCCGAGCCGTGCCCCGGGCTTGGGGTGGGGGAACCACCCTCGAACCCCGACCCAGCCTCGAACCCCGACCCAGCCGGCTCGGGTCTTACCCGCCGCGCGCGCTCCGGCCGCCGCCGTCCCC